GGTGTGGGTGGGGGGGGGGGCGGGCGGCATTGTTTCATGTATTTGCACGCTCTAGCACAGCCTCACAGGCAAACAGCTCTGTATCTATCACCACTGACTGAGGCACTTCTGCTGAGAAAGTGACCACTAGCATGTTTCTCGTGGAACACTCTGCAAGTCGGAGGGTGGAATGAAGACCCCCACAGATTTTAACCAAGTAACATAGCTGCCTGCTAAACCTTCTTGACTGTGTACTTTACCTAACCACAACGTTTAAAATACAAAAAGATTCTTTCCATTTTATCCTAATCCTCCACTGAACAGCACACCTGAAGCAGGCGTCCAGGAAAGGGAGCAGCATGCAAGAAAGAACGGTCCTGGAATGAAGGTGGTGAGGCGCTGGCACAGGTTGCCCAGAGAAGCTGTGGATACCCCTCCCTGGCAGTGTTCGAGGCCAGGTTGGATGGGGCTTTGGGCAACCTGGGCTAGTGGAGGGTGTCCCTGCCCATGGCAGGAGGTTGGAACTAGATGATGTCCCTTCCAACCTCAACCATCCTGTGCTTCTAAAATATTTCTCAAAATAAAGACCCTTACTACCATCCAAAAAGGTAGTCAACTTGTATAATTTCTGCAACTAATGAATGCTAGCATCAGATATGCTTTGGCTCTCCTGGAGAGATAAAACAGATCTCTCCATGTTCTCACTGACAACCCGCTCCAGCAAGGACACAGGCAGGCACTCTGCCTGGCTAGCCCAGATGTGGTTACTGGTAGTATACAACAGCAGTCAGCCAACTGATCTAGGTTTTATTCTACAAATCTTTTCTTCAGTGCAACTTTCAGTCAGGTCTCTCCCCACTCCCTGTCTACCAGTTTTTATAAAGCTTAGCATAATATCCTTGTGTCTATGTTCTGTCAACTGGAAGAAACCATGTGGTGGATACAATTTATAAATGAGGAAACTGACAATTCAATAAATAAGCCCTTATTTTGGTTGGAAACCAAGTTAAAAAACACCTTGCAAGGAGTGCAGTCTTCTGCTGAACAATGTTTGTGTAAAGCATACCAAACATCCAACAATTACGGGAGAAGCATTACCTGCTTGTAGTTCTCCGGTTGTCTAATGAGATCTGTTTCTGTGACAGAAAAATGTCCAAGGATTTGGTCCATATGGGAGCCACTAGTGAATAAATGGATCTGGAACAGATTAAAAGATATTTGTCAGTACAAGGACCAGATCATTAACAACATCATTAGCTACCATCTAATGGCTGCATGGATTGGAATGGTGATGTGAAACCAGTGGTTACAAGCCCATTCCCAATGGACAAGTGTAACTACTACCACCAATACAACAGACCTTTTTAAAACAGCCTGCAGGAAATGATGATCATGCACCACAATCACCTCACAAATTGGTCCATATGGTATTGTTACCAGAACCACATACAGAAATTGCTACTGCTGTCGCCACAGTGAAACTGAAAGATTTCTCTTTTCATTCTGAAGTCTTTTTCCTTACACTACACACACTCTTGTGCATAGTGTGAAAGGAGAAAACAGAAAGCAGAAGTCTTAACAGAGGTAAAAGATACCCTCAGCATAATTTTTTATTTCTTCCTTTAAAGTAGAAAATGCTACCTAGTTACAGTAAGTTTCTCTTTTGCCGCTATATATTGTTGGCTTTTGCTTACTGGGACCTTGTCCCAGCTGCGCTGGTGATGGTATCATCAATTACTTGACGAAGAAGCTTCCCAAGTTAGTCAAGGGAACAATAAAAAGCAATTCCTCCTATTCAGAGCTGATCCCTTTGTTACTGTAATAACTGCAGCTGCCAAACAAGATAGCAGTCCACATTTGTCAGACAATCGCTCATATTTCATTAATATTTCTGCCAGAAGACAGAGAATGTTTCCTGCTTTTCTTCCTTTATTCTAATATGAACTTTATCATACACTTGGGTATTGACAACTATTTTAAAGTTGACAGGCACTGGGTAATTATCAACCCTTCCCTGAAACTTCAGAATATTTTAGCGTTCCTTTCCCAAAACTCACTTCTGGTGACAACCATCTGTCACATGTGCAGAGCTATGCGAGTTTAAAAATAAAAGAGCACCTCCCCACACAATGTTCTTCCTTTCTACTTGCCACTCCTCTCCCTGCTGCATTCTTGCGTAACTCTGGCTGCCAAACCTTTGGGCCTTCAGCACCAGGAATGAATTTCAGTCCCTCTTCAAAAGTATGCTGCAACAGCATCACTGCTTAAAGCCCAAAACAAATACTCTAAAGCTGTAACAACAGAGGAATAAGGTGTTCCCCTGAGACCAGACTAGATGGATACTGAAATAATCCAGTATTTGTATTTTTACAATCTGTTATTGATAACCACAACATACTGAAGATGAAACAAGGCTTAAAGAGGGAAACAGTACCCAAGTAAAAGAAGCAGGAGAGAGGGTGAAAGACAGAGAACATACAGCTGTTGCTATGTGGCACTGGAATGGACTGAGGAGGCGGCAGGTCTGATTTAACCATACACTAACCTTTGCATGAGAGCACAGGCACAACCCCCCACTGAGCACCACTTCTGGGGAGTTTCCAGTACCAATTTCTAAACGCCCTTGCGCTTAGACACCCTGCAGGGAGATCAGCTTGTCTAATTCACCTAAGAGAAGATGAAAAGGGGGCTTGTTCATAGTGCACGCACACTTGCACAAGAGGAAAAACTTCTACTGCATTAAAGAATGTGCTATTGAGATCTGATGGCAAATTCACTTCAGGAAAAAAAAAAAAAAGATTTTCAAACCAAATGTCTCAAGACAAAAAAAGATACAATTAACTAATGTAGTAATTTACAGAGTAACACAGTAGATTCTTCATGCCAGGATGCAGATGCATCTAACAATTGCAGTTTAGCTCACTCATAAATTACTGACAATGAGGTAATCACCTAGCACCAGTCTCTGCCCTCTATTCTTCAGAGATCAAGACTTTGTCCTTGTCCCTCTACTCTCTTACTACAACATCAGATATATAGATACAACTGATGCACTGTAATACATTTTTTATATTGTTTAATCTTAGATGAGGAAGCACAAGAAAGTACTCCATTCATAGAAGGTACTTCCCAGTGCTGCTCTGCATTCTGGCTCTTACAGTTTCCAAGCATATTACAACCCTTATTGTCATTTTACCATGATCTGATACTGCCAATTATGTTAACTCTTCCATCATCAAGAATTCCATTCAATATAATTTTATTTCTACTAACTTATATCCATAGTCCACAATCAGATGATGTTCACCTGCTTAACGAAGTTCACCTCTGAACTCCTATTTTAGGTGTGGTTTCTGTCCTAGTCTTTAGCAGATGGAAGATAGCTGAAAATACCCACAGGAAATCCATCACTTTTGCAGAAACTCATTTGCTCCACTATTTCTTTTCACATGCTGATCGTGGCATAGTGAATTTAACAGACCCAAAAACCAATGCCAGTTTTAAACTACACAGGTTCTTACCTGTTTTTCTGAAACTATATAAGGCTTCTCATTCACATTTTTTAAGGCAAAGTGGTAATTCAAAGCCTAACTAAAAACAGCTGCTCTACTCTAAGAATTCAAGAGGGATCAAAATCCAGGCAGGTAGCTATTCCTCTGGCACTTGACACAATGAGGAAGAAACAGCATAGAAGGAAGCAAGAGGCATGCTTTAACACAGTGATTTATCCTTCATGCTTCCATATATTTGAACGTGTATCAGGTAAATACATACCACTGAGAATTGAGGGAATTATAATGGTATTACTATATTATACTTCCAAAGCAGGCCAACCTATCCATGTCTAGAAGCCATTATAATGTTATTTAACAGCTCATAGCCTCAGGCTGCAAAATTTCTCAGCAACAGAGAGGTTAAGATTTCCCTGAGGAAGTCTTCCTCCTACAGCAGGACGTGTGAGAGTCTGTAAGCTTCAACATGCCTTCTGGGAGCTGAAGCCACTGAAAAGCAGCTCATCAGATGAGCTAGCAAAGAGGAACAGCCAGACCACCTAACAAGCAATTTCCAACACATGACCAGCTGTAGCTCCAGGAAGGCTTCCCTCTTCAGTAACCTACACTGGTTACTACAGAACTTCATACCACCAAACTTAAATGGCTGTGGGCAGGACAGAGTAGATAGAGGCCCCAGCAAGCAGTTTCAGTTATCATTTGAGTACTTTAGAGAAAGAACAGCCATTTATTTTTGCCTGTTTCCCCCTCATATTTCCCTCCTACTGCTCCCTTACCCTTTCTTCAGGCAGTACAGTACTATTTCACTAAGACATGAGTCATCACTTCTAACATGCAAGTACCTGTCTCTGATCACCCAAGCGATTCAGAATTTTTTCACAAAAATCACAGAAATGGAAAAGACCTTTGGAGGTTGTTAGTCCTACCTCCTGCTCTAACAAGGACTATCTCTAACATCAGTTTGTGGCTTTGTGCATGCGAGTCTTTGAAACCTCTGAGGATCGGAGACCATTCAGCATCTCTGGTGACCTGCTCCTATGCTGCCCATCATCCCAGAGAAGCTTTTTCTAATATGCCCGACCCTGCCAAGCCACAATCAGTGGTCCCTTCCCCTTTGTCTTCTGGTACAGCTGAGAAGACCATGGATCTATCTTTGTAACTACCCCTCCAATAGTTATTAGGTGACCTCTCCCTCAGCTTCCTCTCCATCAGAGCAAACAAGCCCAACTCCCTCAAACTCTTCTTGGAGGTCATGTCCAACTTAGCTAGTCCTTGACTATCTTGGTAGCCTCTTGCTGGATTCTCTATGTACAATTCTTACTGCCAGTAGCAATATCCATACTAAAAAAATACAGAGTGGAAAAGTAGTCATCTCCTGAGTAAGAACATATTTTCCAAGTGTAATGTGTTTTCCTCAGAAAGCCCCAAATAGAGAATATGGTATTTTAGAGCCTGCGTGAGTCACAGAATGAAATCTGTGGAAGTGTCGCCACTACTTGGCAAAAAATTATAGCTCGTGATCAGCAGCAAATAAGACTGTTCCACAGCTGAGATACATAACCTGTTAAGTTATTAAACAGAGCAAGTAAAAGCCATAATTATCATTTTGTAGAGAAAGCCCTCTGTAAATCTGTCAACATAATTAAAAAACATAACACTCATTAGCCTTTTGCATACTGTGTTTGTGGTTTATATGAGAAAAGCAGCAGCTCATATAGAGGTCATATTGGGTCAGATGAGTCTTCCAACACACAGGCTAATTTAAAAGTTTTAAAATCAATGCAGTAGCACAGAATTTCTCTATAGAGAGTCAGGAAATATCAATTACTGTTTATGCAGCTGTTAAATTGTGTATGTTAGTTATATTTTATATTACTGTAAATGTTAACATTCATGTGGTGCTATAATGAAGTCCCTTCCAAAGTCACTTTTACCTTTCAATGTTCCTGCTTTTAATTCAGGCTAAAATATAGATCAGAGCACTGCACTTTACTACAGCTCTGAACAGAACTCCCACAGTTGCACATACGTATTTGAGCACACATAATATCAGTGTGTGATCACACATGGAGGAGCTCGACTCCAATCTATCCTCCTGTATGTCCATGATGGCAGTCCTCTACATACAATGCAGAACATAGTCTGATCATAAGAATCATCACCAGCACCACTTACTGTTTTCAGTTTAGTCCAATGATGACTGCTGGAGAAGGCAGTGATGGCAGCTTTGGGAAACTAGATGAACAGAGTAACATTCTCTCTCCTGATTATTCTTCCCGATTCTGGAAATTGTGGTCCAGGGAACTGCAGCATAACTAACCTGTCTCATATTTGTCTGACTGCAACAGACTTAACTTTAGCAAACATTTTCCCTTGGATAGCCACAGGAGAAAAAAAGTCCAAGTTTATTTCAAAGTACAATCCCCATAGGTCATCATTTTCCCTGTCAACAAGTTTAGCACATCGCCCAATCAGCACTTCTCTTCATCATTGCAGTGCCTGATCTGGACCGTTGAGAGTATCTCTGTACTCAAGCCCCCAGGTTCGACCTGCTCTTAATTCTTCTTTGGTCTCATTAACTGCAAGCTGAGGTATTGAAGGTGCCTAATGATTTGTTACTGCCAAGTACTACATAAATCAGAGTACTGATGATGAGTTGCACAGGTATTTGCCTCACATACTATAAAAATCAGCATACCTTAAATAGACATAGCTTATCAAGGGGAGAAGATGCCAATCATTTCATTTGAGTTTTCTATCACTAAGCCACCTCTCCCAATAGCATCACTGTCTGCAATCAGTGCAAAAGCCAAGGACTGCACCTGCACTTACAGTGAATTGCCATCTTCGTTCCCAGATCAGGAAAGCACATTCACAGTGGGCAATGAGAAGCAAAAGGTTATTTGAGATGCTGCACACACAGCACCTGATCTTCCCCTAGGGCTGTCAATCAGACATCTTCCCTAGCAATCAATTCATGTAAAGAACAAAATGTAACCTCATTATAGTTTTCAGCATTGCTCTGTCAGACACAGGATTAAAACCAAGAAGGCATCTTCATTCAAAACCCTCTTGTTCCGATTCTGACAACTTTTTGATAAATGTTGTTCTTTGAGGAGAAATTTCTCAAAAGTGTTCTTAGTCTCAAAAAGGTCTTCTGTGAAAGTTCTGGCTACAATACCAAGTGGCTCCACATAAGTTACCTAAAGAGATGTGAATGGAGAAAGGGTGCCCAGAGAAAATATTACTGAATAACTTTTAGGGCTATCTTTAGAACACTTTTTTTTTTTTTAAACTTTGTCTCTGCAGTCACCATCACTGTCAACTTTGGGATTGCAGGCCGTTTTCCATCCTAAGCAGACACAATGCTCCCAGATGTCTGTGATTTTCAGACAGGCATATAAACATTATTCGAAAAATAGGAACAGAAATGGAATCTTAGCAACATAGAGACCACTATTGATTCCTGATTTTGGGTTCTGCTCAGATGCTCCCTAGTACTTCAGAAAGGGAAACTGCATTTTATTTTGCTGCTATTACTTTCAACATCTGTGCTCAATATTTTGAATTCACATTTCTGATGAACTTATAGTTCTGAATCACTACTACTTGTCTGCAGGACCAGAATGCTCTGTCTTGCTTCTACCAGGCATTTTCTGAGAACAAAAATGGAGACAGCCTATGGTTGCAGAAGTGACTTAGTGCCGGCCTACAAAAGAGACTTTTATACAACAGTTATAACCTTGCAAGCACTGTATATGCTTCATTTTTTCATGGTTCTGCCCCACTGGGGAAAGGTGAGGGTATTCATATTTAAAGTAATTCACTCTTATCTACAGAAAATGCAGAACTAGCAAACAAGAATAATTTGTACATTTAGCACTAGCTGACAAGGCTTTTAAATAATAAACAATGCCATAGTGAGTTAGAAGAACCATTTACCTTGTGCAAAAGTTTGCAATGCTCTTGGTGCTGAGCATGCAAACTCCGCCACTGGAACCTCAGCCTCCCATTTAACCACTGAAGGTATCGAACATCTACTCTGTCTTCTAGCCCATATTCAGGCGTTGTTTCAGTTGTACCTTTCTGGCTGTTAGGCAGATCATCTTCACACTAAAATCAGGAAAGAATATCAAAATGTTTAAAGTTAGCTTCAACACTTTCAAATCATTCAGTACTGAAGAACATACAAGGCAAATAGGCCAACGAGGAAAAGAAAAAGAAGTAAGTTCCAGCAGTAGAGAGAAATTGTAATCTTCTAGCATACAGGACTAGGAAGAGCCTAAACAAGTACTGAAGTCTGGAATAAATATCAGTTTCTCAGCTATGACATGGTGCGCTGTCTCCTCTCCCATCTTTCAGTTTCCGTACCCAGGAAGACACAGTGTTCCTGAGACAGCAAGCATGTTCTTTACCCAGATGGGGAAAAAAAAAAAATAAAAAAATCAGATTTTGACTAGATTCTAATAAGTCAAAGAACATAAAAAACAGATTTAGCTCCTCCAGTATCTCTCAAAAGTGCTGCAGGCTGTATTTGGTGACCCAATTTTGTAAATCAATGCCTTATACAGGGACCGCATTGTGGGCTTGTGCTTACCCAGCTATTTTCTTTTCTCCATCCAGCATTTCCCCTCTTGCAGGATAGAGGAAAAGAAACAATCATCCAGCTGACATTAGCCAGGAGTCCACAGAGGCACTTCCAGCTACATTTGCACCACCTGTCTTGCCTGGTTTTGCCTTTCTCTAGAGTAATTTGGAAGAAAGAAGTAGAGTTTCCTTTTGCTCATTTTGTCCCACTTTCCTTCTGCTGCAGAAAAAAACAAAACCAAACCCAACCACCTTCATCTTCTGGATGAAACTTCTGCTTGGCCAATGGCATACAGCAAGCAAGACATTTCTGTCGTATCTCTTTTGCAAGGAACATGGGGGGAATTCCACCTCCCCTAGCCTCTTGCACAAAGAGATCATTCACATTTACAAACAGATCCCTCTCTCCATTTTCAGCTAAGACTCCTGCAGATTGCAAATTAAAAGGGGAAGACATGGGTTGTTTTACTTCTGATGCCAGTAGCATCACTTAAAGTAAGGCTGAGCTGTCAACTTCATCCAGTGTATAGAAAGTACATGCAACAAACACTAATCCATAATTCCAAGTTTTTTTACTATAGCATATCACAAGAAGTAGAAATGACACAGAACTGTGAGGGCCTGGTTAATCAGAACGGGTGTTCACCAGCTAAGAAAGTGTCTCCCAGTTGTTAGACTCTCAAGACATCTCTATAAAGGGGAAATTTAAAAAACCTACTTGAAACATGACTGTTTTCAAGAAAACACTCAAGCAGATATTTGGACCCATAGACCTTGATGGTACTTAAACATATGTGCTTCCCTGCTTCACAGACTTCCATATTCAATAAAATCTTACAAAGATTCAGTTGGCAGACAAAGCTTGAATGTAATTCCAATTTGGATCCTAAACTAAAAATGTAAACTGTAAAACGAAACAAGTTTAATCTTGCCTTCGATGCAGATTTCAGCAGAAGTGTATCTATAGCCATGATCAAAGGACCCCCTAATGCTTGTTTTAACCTAAACATGACCTCAGTTGACAGGGCCTCTAACACAATGAGTGTTCATATTATTTATAAGCACAAAAATGCTGTTCTGGTCACATAACAAAATGTATCAAGATTACAGGTTTTTTCCCTTTGCTCTGTGGCTGATAAATGCATGTTATAAATCATAGGCACGCAGGGCTGGTAAAGGGCTTTTCCTTTTAAAGGCACAGATTCATCTTTAAAAAAAAAAAAAAAGACAGTATCTCCTTTGTGCCAACTGCAGTGTAACTCTTTCCTCAGATGCCTTCAGCCCCGTGCCCCTAAATCAAAAGGCACTGCGGTCCTAGCTAAGTACCTTCATGGTTCAGGTTCTCTTGCCCCCACCAGGAGAGGTTTCTGGACTACAAAACCATATAGATATGATTACCAAGTTGTCCATAAACATGAGCCAAACAATTGCATATTAGTCACTACAACAGAGAAGACACAACTGTAAACAACATTAAAAGACTTCACATAAGCAGCCAGAAAACTGCAAGGCCAAAGACAGACTTGGGATTCACAGATTAAAATCTGCATTTTCCATAATTTACAGTTCAACTCCAGCTTCCCTGGTTAGGAGGTTTCAGAACAGCACAAATACTGCTCTCCTGGGGATTCATTTCAGGAAGGAATGGCATTAGACTCGATTGCTTTGGCAGTACAGTGACAAACACCATGCAGAGCTAATTTTATTGTAGCAACCTGCCTTATTAATATTAAAATAAGGAAGCCAGCCAATGCATTTTTTAACAGGATCTCTCTATTATTTATTTCACAAACTGCACAAAAAATTTACTTTTGCTATGAAATACTTAGCCTGGCATAAAGTAAACAAGGTAAAAAAAGAAGTCTTGCATATTATACTGTGACCTCAATTTCTAGTCCCATCTTTACAATCTGAGACTATTTACTGCTCTCCCAGTGGGAGAAAAATCACTAAAATACCAGCCCAAGCTAGAGTCTTTGCTTCAAATATCACTGTGAACTTATCTAATCTATGCAGCAATGTGGGTACACACCTACATTTACTTCTGTGATACAGAAGTGCATATTATTTAGTCAAAGTCATAAAGAGAGAAGCCAAGGCCACTACCCAGGGCTCTCAATGGCCTCCCCGCAGTTGGAATGCTCCCCACCAGCTCTGGAAGAGATCATTTCATAGCCACTTACCAGAAAAGGTTTTTGCTTGTAAACTGTTTGCTGCAATTAATGTCTCTCTCTCGTTCTGTTTCAGAGAAGGGAGGTGCACAGACTCCAGCTACAAAACAGTGCCACAGGCTCGCAGTACAAAAGGCACATCAACACGTATCGATATCCTTATTGCAGTGTCAGAGTCTTTTCCCATTACACTGGCAACAACAGAGCTAGTCTTGTCAAACTGCACAATGCGGACTCAACAGAGCATCTGCAATTAGCATAACTTAAGCAGAAGCTAGAATGAAGACCCTTAATTCCACTCCCACTGTAAGTCACCTCAATCGAGCTTTTTCATCCTAAAAGCTCAAAGTACTGCTGTTAGAAGATCTCAATATCCATTTATTGCCAAGACTCAGAAAAGCAAGCACAAGCCTGAGGAAGATGACATGCATATAATTACATGAACTTTCTTCAAGCCAATTCCTGAACTATCACCTTGCCTGCAATTAGGCGGAACTCAAACCCAGCTCTCCTGTGGCAAAAGATCCAGTTAAATAACCAGCTAAGCCCCATAATAAATACACATTCCAGACCACTACATATCACCATCCCAACTAAGGTAGCTCACAAATTACAAAACCTTCCCCAACCTCCTAAATACATCTCTGGCTTAGTCAGACCTAAACATTGTTTATGTCCTAAGAGCATATATTTAAAATTTTTGCAAGGCAGCTTAGAATTCAGTGTCCAACACCACACGAGTTTTGCCCTAAGCATTACTCCCCAGGCTATTTCAAGTTCAATTGTTATGAAAAAAGATGCCAGATCATTCTCAAAATGCGTGAATGGACTTGTAGTTAGATAATGTAGCAAGTGCAAAAAAGCCAACACAGTCCTTGTGGCAGAAGTGCTCTGAGTAGGAAACACACTGAACTGAAAAAAAACATCAGATATATAAGTACTTAGAGGAAAAGAATAAGGCGTGATAGAAAGGAGGGTGTGAAAAAGACAACATGGTAATATATCAGTTTTTATTCACATTCCATACATCTGAGCAAACAACTTGCATGCAACGTGCTCAGAGAGAAATTAAAGATTAAGGAGTTTCAACTTCTATAGCAGAAATAAAGCTTTTCTTCCTGGTTTGAAATACAAAGCAATCCCATGTTATTGGAAATCAGAGAGCAATTCTACCAGCAGTGGATGGAGATAAGTTAAACAAGTATTTCATCATATAAATAGTTTATCAAAGAACAACATAAGCATCAATGTATTTGTGGACATGCAAGAAGGGAGCATTTTTTACACTACTAGCTCCATTTGAGGATTTTAGTGACCTGGTATGTGGTTGACCTTGCCCTGTTCATACGCTTTGAATTAAACTTCAAAAATTGTTTTAAAGCAAAAATTCTTTGCAGAGTCAGTGGAGATCTTAGAATATGCCACAAGCAGTACTGCAAAGAAAACCCTTTGTTGTGCAACTTCATCACACATCTACGCTTTCTGTACTTTTCCAATTCACATAGGTCTCTTAATGCTTATAAATTCTTACCTTGATAAATTTACTATGTCCTGTACACACAATGGAAATGAAAAGACTTATGCTGCCCGCATTGCTGCAAAAGCAAGGCAATGGCAGGGCTAGTTCCCCAAGACATGCTCTTTTGTGACTACGAGCTGCCACCTCTCGGTAAAGGACAGGTCCCAGCCGCCGTCAGCTTATCCCTGCCATGCTGTGGCTTCTCCCCGGACATCTTCCAAATCCCTCTAAGTACCAGCTCTCTGCTTCCATATTTGGACAGACAGCAAACAGCTTGCTGCTCTTCCCATGGAGAAGCAACCCTATTGGAACATGGATAACACATTTAATCCATGGATATATGCATTAAGTCAACTCCCTGACCTTAATCCTTGAGCAGAGCAAAATAAACCAACTGTCAGTTGAAACCTCCAATGCATGACCCCAGCCCACTCTTCACCTTGACCTGAGTTAATCTGGGTCCAGACAGAAACTCTTTACTCTCAGGTACTACTCAAATCTTAAATACACTAAGTAGGCAGCCTGGTTTCACAAAGGTGGGAAGAAGCTTATCTAGATCCCTCGCTGCAGGACTCTGGAAAGGCAAAGCAATCACATCAATCAAGCCAATAAAGTGCTTCTGCAGCTTTTACTGACCGCTCATTCTGAACTGCTCATAATTCAGACAATGGTTTTAATGTGACATAACATATGTTAACCTGTGTAATTACAGATCTTTAAACAGAGTGTAATTTTTTTAAAAATTAAACACCATAGCCAGAAACAACAGTATCGGGCATGCTTTCCTAATTAATACAGCCATATATCTATCTGCAGGAGGGGAAAATGTGAAAAGG